CTCCTCTATTCCTCTTTGAATTTCCCGCTCCCGAGGTCATAGGGGTTGAGAGCAGCAGGTAGATTCTGCTGTCCTGGTCCGTCTGGCAGGGGTTGCCTAGCACTCTACTTTGGCAGGTGGACTATGTATCACCATCCATCTCCGGCTCTACGTCCGTAGCCCCACATTCCAGGACACCAGGAAAAGGCTCCCGTGTCCTGGTAGTTTTGATCCCGAAGAGAGATGAGGCTTTTCCTCCGCAGGGCGGTTTCCGCCTTCAGTTCAGAACTACTAGGTGTGACGGCAGCACTGGGGCCCGGGCAGGTGGGATGAGTGGGAACTGGGTAACCACACCGTCCCCTTTTCTAGAGCTCCGTGTCCTCCTTCTCCACAGAGGGCAGCTGCATAGAACAAGACGCCCCTCTGGGCCTCACTCTGCCCCAAAGGGAAAATCCAGGAGGGCCGACAGGACACAGGTATTCAGGCGTAAGTGCTGCCCAGCTGATGGCAGCTTCGTGCCTGAGATCGGTTGTCACGTCCTTCAATTTAAATATCTTTGCAGCCAAAGCCGGTTTGGCTCAGTGGATAGAGCATCGACCTGCGGACTGAAGGGTCCCAAGTTCAATTCTGGTCAAGGGCATGTACTTTGGTTGCGGGCACATCCCGGTGGGGGGTGTGCAAGAGGCAGCTGATGGATGATTCTCTCATCGATGTTTCCAACTCTCTATCCCTCTCTTTTCCTCTCTATAAAAAATCAATAAAACATATTTAAATAAATAAACAAATAGATAGATAGATAGATAGATAGATAGATAAATACCTTTGCAGCCCAAGTGTCCACGGTCCTATGTAAAACCAACCAAACAAACAAAAGATATGTTAAAGGAGCCAGGAGACTGGCAGGATCCCTATGATCAATTTATCACTTTTGAACAAAACGATAGGAACACGGAGCCAGGTGCGGGCTCGGATGCCGGTTTAACTTGGCCGTGAGCAGCTCTCCTCTTGGCTCCTGGTGTCGAGAATGAAGGGCTGGCAGTGACTGTGTGTCTAAGGCTGCGGCTGGGTTTCTCTTTGCTCACATCTGGTGGTGATGATTCGTCCCTGATAGGATACCTACCAGCGAGTGGCTAGAGGGTTTGGTTTCCCTGACGCTGCCCCATACTCACCTATTCCTGGCATGAGCCGCCATTCCCGCGCCAATCACCGGCTTTCTATATTTATCGGCAGCTGCTTCAGTGATGTGGAAACAATTTTCTCAACAGCTGAAAAGCATGCGGATAGAGAGCAGGACGTGTTGTTCTTACAAAGAAGCCTGGTTGGAACACGCGGAGGGGTGAACAGTCCAGCATGAATCTTGCCCCTGCATCTCCTCCCATTCCCTCCCCCAACTCCCCACCCCAGACATCAGGCTTACATGGAGAAGATGGTTGATTTGGTCCAGAGATACATGCACGGGCAGCACCTGAGGAACCTAGAATCCTTAGCATCAGCCGGGATGGCCAGATTCTCCTTCGTAGGAGGTGGTCTTGGCTGATTTGCTTGATTTCTGTCTAAGGTTTGGGGTGCAGAGGCTCATCTCAGTCTCTTCTTTCAGCCCGGCCTTCTTCCCAGCTGCCTGGCTGTAGGCATTCAGCATCCAGTGACTACTTCTCTGTAAGCCATTCTGAAAATCAGCCACAGAACGCCTGCCCTCCATGGGACTCTGCAGGGCGAGGAGGGTCTGAGAGCACAGCCCACCCCCTGTGAGCTGGAGGCTTCCAGACTGCCAGGCACTGGGACTAGAGGACTGTGACATGTACATGGCACACAGCCCTCACACCGTGCTGGTTCACTGGCAGCCCTCAGTGCAGGATGCGCAGGGAGGTTGTTGTTGCTCTCAGGTGGGCTCAGAGCTTTGAGACATCTGGGTGTTAGTGTGCTTGTAAGGGCAGCAAGACTTAGAGTCAAGAAACCTGGCTTTTGCCCTGTCCAACTTGGCGCAGTAGATAGAGCGTCGGCCTGCGGACTGAAGGGTCCCAGGTTCGATTCCCGTCAAGGGCATGTACCTTGGTTGCGGGCACATCCCCAGTGGGGGGTATGCAGGAGGCAGCTGATTGATGTTTCTCTCTGATCGATGTTTCTGATTCTCTATCCCTCTTCCTTCCTCTCTGTAAAAAATCAATAAAATATATATATATATTAAAAAAAGAAGAAGAAGAAAAAAGAAACCTAGCTTTTAGCCCCAGGTCTGCCTCTATTATGAAAAGGGGAACCATATAGAATGCCCAACCTGTGCCAAGCATTCTGAGCGTGACGCAAAGCACTTTACCAGGCAGGGTCTCTCCCCTCAGAACAATCTAGGAACTAGGTCAGCATTTCCCAGCTGAAGAAGAAGTGAGAGTTCAGAGAGAGTAGTTTCCTTTCCCCAGGTTAGCGTCCAAATCTCCCTAATTCCACAGCCCATGTTCTTACCATCCGCATCTTCCATCTCCTAGATCTCAGCTCTGTGCAGGGGAGACCGCGAACAGCTCTGTAGGTAAACTCTCAGTCCAACTGTCTTCAGCTGTAGAATAGAAAAGCCATCTCTAAAGTTTATTTTCTACTTAAAAATAGAGCCTTCCTTATTATTTTAAATCTTTACTGCCACCTAGTGGGAATGATCTAACCAGAATCATGGAAAATTTGAGTTCAACTTACATTTAAAAGTACCAATTCATCTGAGGTACATACTATGTTCCTAACTTTTAAAAACGTATTTATGAGTACACATTATAGTCTTCTGTTTTTATCTTTATAATAAACCACTAAATGTGAGATTTCCTTTATAAGATTTTTTTTTTGTGTGAGATGCTGGGATAATAAAAACCCCAGCTTTTAAAAAAAATATGTAAAGATAATAATTTAATAAATAAATAGTAAATAAATAAATAAAAATAAAAAATATGTAATGCTCTGTGTCCATATGATGCACAGTTTATAATAAGCTATATGTAAAGAGATTCTAATATGAAATATTTAAACATATAGCAGATATGTTTTTAATTATAGAAATATTTACTTACTTTTTTTTTTATATTCTCATGGCAAAAAATTAAAAAACATAGAGGTTGTGACATAAAAAGTAAAGTCCTCCACCACTGAGGGCAGTGTCTTAAGATTTCTTATGTGTATTTTTTTAAAGAAGTGTTCTGTTCATGTACAAGCATGTGTGCAAATATACACATACTTTTTTAAAACAATTTTTCTATTAATGAGCTGATGTTTTGCATACTGTTCTACAGCTTGCTTCGTTTACCTATTCAGTTTTGGACATCTTTCCATGCCCACGAGAAATACACCTCATTCTTCTTAACAGCACACAGTATTCCATTATTGACTGTATTATAATGAATTTTCTGGTCCCTCATTAATGTCCAATTAGGCTATTTTCAGTTTTGTTATTACAAAAATACTTCAGGGAATGCCTTCAGGGAACACACATACTATACACTTTTGCAAATTTACTTATAAAATGAAATCTTAGACATGAAATTGCTGGGTTTAAAGGCACATTATTACCTACTGACCAGAGATCACTAGAAATTCTAGAAAAGAAAAAAAAAGGAAGGAACGAAGGAGGGAGAGGGAGGGAGGAAAAAGAGAGGAGGAGAGGAGTGGAGGGAGGAGGGAGGAAGACACAAAGCAGGAGCAGGTCAGTGACTGGGCATCTTCCTTTCCTGGGAGGAGAGCGTTGAGGTGGTTAGGAGTGTCCTTAGTACATGAGCAGCCACTGAGGATGTGGTCGGGAGAGGGGGGTGTTTAACCATTTGTTAACCCGGCAGCCTTGCCTGGACATTGCTTTGTTGTGGGTGCTGTCCCTGCGCTCATGGGGAACATCTTGGCCAGCCTGCCCACAGCGCTTCCTGTCCCTTCCTTGGGCACAGTGGTTTTAAATATCTGGAGATGTTTAAGTTGCTTCTAAAAAGGATGCACCAATTTACATTCTTCTGGGTTCTTTTAAAGGCTCAACTTCTCTGAAAATGATTTAATAACCAGGATAATCATGGAAAGTATACTAATAGCAAATGTTTAGAGAGCCACTTCCTGCATGCCTACCATCGTGCTGAATCCATCACCGGAGGACTCCTCCTCCGAGGCTGGAGCAAAGCACTAACTACTCCCGGCTTCCGCCAGAGCAAACCAAGGCTTAGAAAGCCTAAGAGCCCGGCTGGTGCTGCTCAGTGGTTAGGTGTCAGCCTATGAACCAGGAGGTCACGGTTTGATACCCGGTCAGGGCAGATGCCCAGGTGTAGGCTAATCTCCAGGGTGGGCATGCAGAAGGCAGCTGATCAATGATTCTCTCCCTTCACTGATTATTCTATCCCTCTATCCCTCTCCCTCAATGAAAACATATTTTTTTAAAAAAGAAAGCAGAGAACCAGCCCGGATCAGGGAACTAGCCAACAGGCATTGAGCTGGGCGCAGAACCGGCTCATTCCGGGGCCCACACCCTTCACCATGAAGAAACTCTCTCTCCATGATCTGCTTCATGGAGTCTGCCCGGGAGAATTGAAAGCTGAGGAATTAAGAGCCATTTAATTGATGATGACAGAGCGTGGAGGGTCTGGTTTAGGTTGACAAGGCAGAAGAGCCTAGTTTAGAGAAGTGAGACTTCCGAGCGGCATTCTGGGGACCACGTGATGGTGCCAAGCGGGGCACCCAGCCTGGGGGCTCTGCGGTTCCCACACACCCTCAATGACTAAAGACCCAGTCACAGCCTGGACCCTGCAGTCAAGTCATCTCTGGGCCAGCAGGAGCTCAGAGGAAACACAGGATGGAGGACTTCCATCCCCGGATTCTCTGTGCTTCATGGAGTGTCCACACTGCATTAGGATGGGGCCCTCGAGACAGACCGTGCAGGGCGAGCGCAGAGGGAACTGGTGCTTAAGCAAATATTTATTGAGTGTGTGATGGGGACAAAGAGGCTCAGAGCTGGCCCGGGTGCTGGCGTGTAGCACCCCTGGCTGCACGGGGTAACATCTGGCTGCTCTTCCTTCCAGACTGTGCCGGCTGCGGAAGGGACATCAAGAACGGGCAGGCGCTGCTGGCGCTGGAAAAGCAGTGGCACTTGGGCTGCTTTAAATGCAAGGCCTGCGGGAAGGTCCTCACCGGCGAGTACATCAGCAAGTAAGTGAGGCTGGGCCTGGGGGGCCCTCTCGCTCCTGCTCCGGGGGCCCCGCCGCGACCCACAGGCCATAATGACAGACACTCACACCCCACAATCCTCAGGGACTTGCGGCTATAAAACTGGAGCAAGGAATTTTACTCCTCTGCATTTGCCATAGTTTGTCTTCTATAAATGTAATGAGATGTTGAGTATTGCCTGATTTAGCGATGAATGAAGCTCATGTATATGTTGTGACCAATGAGCATTCAGTCATTTACCTTCACTAGGACACTCCCCCTCCCCCCCCCACTTCCCTCCACACACACCCCCCCCCCAATTTGGCACTAACAAACCTTTGTGCTCCTTCCAGGTCTTGAATGTATTTGTAGACGCCCCAGCCTTCCCCCAAAAAGCCACACAGGCCTAGGCACTAAGCCCATTAGGACCAATGCACACAATAGCTCCTCAGGGAACGGGTTCGTGCAGTCAGGCTGGTGTGGCTAACAGCTACAGCAGATGAACCCAGGTTTCTGTTGGTTTGGTTTTTATGCAGCCCGAGAAACTAGTTACAGCTACAATGGTCACCTTTTGCGTGAAGGAAGGAAGACGAGGCTTGGGGTTGGGGGAGACAGTGGCAGAGAGGGGAAATTTCCCTTATATACTTTTTTATGCTTTAGAAAATGTCTTCCAACCGGGCGAGTCTATCAGCTATTCAAAAACATCAAGTGAATTTAACTTAAGAATATAGCAAAGCAAACAAAAAGTAGTCCGTCCCCCCACTTCTGAAAACCTACCCCTGTAGGTCTGGGCTGTCCTGTGGGAACCCCCAGAGGGGACTCGGAGCTGAAGTGAGAAGAGGAAGATGCTCAGCTCTTAAATGCACGCCGAGGGCTGCGAAGTCATGGGCCACGGGCCGTCCACAGCGGTGCCTTTGAACTCCGCCACAGGCCACACAGTGCCACCTCCACTGTGCGCTGAGGGCGAGAAAGCCCGGGCCCCGCAGGCCTTCTGGAGGCGGAGGCTGTGTGTGAGCAGGAGCAGCGGGGTCAGGAGGCAGGTCAGGGCCTCCAGAGCGGGGAGCGCTGAGATCACACCTGAGCCCATCTGGCCAGTGGTGGCCGAGAATGATGCCAGGGCTCAACCAGTGAGCCTGAGACCCTCGAGGGCCGGGCACTGGGGGCACTCGGTGACATGGCCGTGGTTTCTGTGTGGCCCGCGGGACCACAGCTCTGTCTCTGGATCGCTTGGCTTCCTGGGTCCTGCTCGTGTCTGGGCTGCAGGCACATGACCTCTGGGTGGGAGAGAAGCAGTGTCCCACAGTCCGTCCCCAGGCCCCAGAGCCGCGTGGTTCCGTGGCCTCCTGCCCGGGCCTCCTCTCGGGCGCTGACACCCTCTCGTCCCGCAGAGACGGCGCTCCGTACTGCGAGAAGGACTACCAGGGCCTCTTCGGGGTGAAGTGTGAAGCCTGCCACCAGTTCATCACCGGCAAAGTCCTGGAGGTGAGTGGTGGGCAGGCTGCCCGCAAAGCGGCGTTCCCCTCCGAGGCCCTCGGGCCCGCGGAGGAGTCTGGATTTCCATTTTTCCTCACGGGCATTGTAGAGGAGATTGTAGAGGACCAGCCTCCTAGAGAAGGAACGTGTTGGCTGTCTTCACAGGTCGATTCTGCTAAATGTGCATGTGGACCTGGGAGCGATGGAGAGTGTGAAGGGAAGGAAAGAATGATCAAGGGGCTGTGTGGAATGACTAGGATGTGGAAGGGAGGGTTATATCAGACTATTTTTAGAAATCAGAGGACATGAGCATGTTAGAGCCACGTGTCTACGTGTGTATAGGAGTGTATAGGTGTATATGCTCGTGTGCTTTTGCATGTGCATGTGTGGGAGTGTCACGTGTATACACCTGGGGAATGTGCATGACGTGCGGGCTCTTATAGTACGTGTGTGCATATGAGCGTGCACACACTCAGGGAGCAGAGGCTGAGAACTGAAGCTGAGAAAAGGAAGGGGGATGGAAGGTGACTTCCCCGCCCTGAGAAGTGCACATCCTGTGTGGCCCAGGCGCCCCGAGGCCGGGGCTGAGCTGAAGCCTGTGGGTTCAGGTGTGACTGGGTCACGGCCCCATCTCCTCCTCCTCTTCCCCCTTCCCCCATCCCACCCCCACCCTCTGTGAGCTTCCTGCTGTCTCAGCAGCCACCAGCCTCTGCCTCAGGGCTGGGCCTCGTTGCCCTGGAGCTAGAGGCGTCTGCGGATCCACCTCACTGCGCACAGGCCTTGGGTGTTGACCAGTTGTGACGGGAAAATCAACGATTGCCTCATAGCCGGCCCACAGTGCTGGGTGGAGCATGTGTACAGAGCAGCTGGGAAGGTGACAGACTGGTCCTGGGCTTGTCACGTCACTCGGGCAGACACCAGGGCCCTGAATCCACGTTCTCAAACTTCCCAGCAGGGCGTGGTTCAGAGACACAGGATGTCCATTCAAAGGGCCCCCACGTGGTCCCTGGGCAGGTCCTGCGGGATTTCCCAGCCAGGGCCGGCGCGGCCTTCCTCACCCCCCAGCGAGCTCTGAGTGTCTCTCTGTCCATAGAATACGAGGGGCTGGCCTTGGCTCTGGGCTGGGAGCCAGTGCAGGGAGTTGGATTTGGGAGATAAACTGCCCCTCACCCAGGGGAAGGGTGTTCCGAGGAAAAGGGAACAGCCTCTGCAGAGGCTCAGAGGCGACGACCCAAAGCACAGGACCGGCAGGAAACACAAGGCCAGGAAGCAGGAGCGCAGGTGTGCGGTGATGCTGGAGAGTGGGGAAGGGCCGGCGTGGAGGGGTCGAGGGTCACATTCAGGAGTTTGAAGTGATTGCAGCTGGCGCATCACGTGATTGGGTCAGATTTTTGTATGAAGAACAGGTGGGAAGACTCAAATCCACGTGCACCCATGTTCAGAGCGCTCTGTTCGCAACAGCCAGATGGGAACAACCCAAGTGTCCATAAATGTATATATACACAGACGATGACATATTAGAAAGTCTTCTGCATCGGGTGCAACGTGGCCACTCTTGAAAACCTGCGAAGTGGGAGAAGCCTTCACAAAAGGCCTCATGCTGTCTGTTCCCATGTAGAGGAAATACCCAGAGTAAGGAAATCCATGGGGACAGGAAGCAGGCTAGTGGTCGCTTGGAGTTGGGGGGCGATTTTCTGGAAACTGGCACACAACACTCAGCATAGAGCATCCGCTTGAGCTGAAGGCTTATCGATTGTGAGCTTGCTTTCAGTCTTGTTTTTTACAAGATTCTCTTTTTAGAGAGATCTTACTACCAGTGGCACACGTTCAAGGCTCATGCTAACTAACTCATCGGTGCAGGAGTGTGGTGGTGCCGTATACCGCCTGCCTCCTAATGAAGAAGCTCAGAAGCAAATGAGTGGGCGATCCTGGGGGTTGCCACTAGACCTCTTGTCTCCATCCCCACTCCTAAGCTCCTCTCTGAAGCAGCCTTCCTCTGACCTCCTCCTCTCCCCCTCCCGCCCTCTGCTTAGCAGCCAGATGGTACAGGAAGCTCCTGACCCTTCAGACTAAGTTCACAGACCTCAGTGGAGGTCAGAGAGCATCTCTTTGATATGCATTTCCTTCCGTCTTTGGTGGATGGTCCTGGGGGATCTCTGACTCGGGAATCTGCCTTTCTGGGGTACAGGTTGCTACCTGCCAACCTCATGGAGAAAGAACAGCAGCACAATCATTCCAAAATGAATGTGGCACAGGAGAGGGGGGTAGGGGAAAGGAAATGTCAAACTGGAAACAGCAATCTTGCGGGGAAAGGGAAATGGCTGCCCCGAATCCTCTCCTCACTCTTGGCTGTTCCCTCGGCTGACGCAGGGCAGACTGCTCTTTGTCTCTCTGTCTCTTGCACAATTCGCGTCCCGCAGGGACTCCGTGTTTACGCAGCTCTGCCCGGAGTCCTTCTAGACAAACGTTCTTAGCCACAGACTCCCCACGCTGTGTGGTCCCTGGGCACCTGCTTCCCGGGTGAGCGCTTGTCTCGGAGGCCAAGGGGAGCCGTGCTGTCTGCACTCTGACCTGGAGGCCCGAGGGGGCTCAGTTCTGCTTGCTGGGGTCTCCTAGGCTTCTCCTCCCCCTTCTTCCTGCAGTCACCACACCCAGGACATCCTCCCGTCCCTCCCGAAAGGCGGGCAGCACGTCTCTGGCGTGGTGTTTACTGGGCCTGTGCGCTCCGGGGAGAAACGTGGGGTGATGTCAGTAAAGACATGGGTACCACACCACGTGAGGGGCAGCTAGCCCCTGGCAGATCCTCCATTCATTTTTCCGTTCATCCCTCCGTCTGCCCTGTCCTGCCTTTATCTGTTACCTGGGAAACGATGGGTGAAAGGATGGATAAAAGGGCTGGATTCGGACTCTCTTCCGCCCCCGCCTGCTGGACTCCTGGCCGGCAGGAAATAGAATGACAACATGGTCCCACCGAATCCTTTTCCTGGATTCTCTGAAGGCGGCTCGGTTTTACTCTTTCCTAAAGCCCGGGGACAGATGCTGTGATGTCCCATGAACCCAGCTCAGGCTGCCCGTGGGGGGCCCGGTCCCCCGCCTTCCTCTGCTGAAGGGCTTTTAAGTGTGTCGTGCTGGGGTAGCCACACGCAGAGCGCAGGTCTTGTTCTGGGCCGACCTGTCTGACCTCATGAGAAGAAGCATGGGCTGTCCCATGGCACGCACATGCCATTAACCTTTCTGTCGCCATCTGAGATGTGATTTGCAAAGGACAGGCTGATGACAGCGCCAGCATCACATACAAGCAGTGCCAGGATAGTCCCCCACGTGCGTGAAGAGGATGAACCACGGTCTCCCCCTTCTCGTTGTGCTCAGAGGGCTTCGTGTCTCCTTCCCCTTCACTGGGGACATTTCTGGTGTGAAACCATCCCTGAGGCCCGGGGGCTGCCCCAGGCGACATGGGGGCAGTGGGTCCCCTGGTCCACAGGCCGTCATCTGATCCGTCCCATGCGGAACGGGCTAGCTGCTCTCTCGTTTTCCACCTGAATGTGCTTGCTTCCTGGACCTCACGGCTCCCCGCCTCGGAGGACGTTCTGATGCCAATCCCGGCAGATGGGCCTGCTTAGACTTGGCCAGCGAGGCAGGAGGGGGGGCAGGTGAGGCCGGTGCCCCTCCAGGGCCACGGAAATGAGCTGGGGCCGTGAGTCCGACCCCATCAGGCCACGTACAAAGGAAAACTGTTTGTACACCATTTCCATGGCCCCTCAGCAGAACTCAGAGCGGCAGGCATCTTGGAAACAGATAGAACATGGAATTGTGGGGTTTGGCGAGGCCATAGGTGAGGTGGGAGGGAGTGGAGAGCGGTTGGTAGGAAACATTAGGTACAGCCAGGCACTCCAGAGCTGAGTAACCATTAGCGGGTGGCTCAACTCGCAGCACCCTCCTTTGTGAACTGTGGATAGTAATACTTCTTTTTTAAAAAATATATGTATATTTTATTGGTGTTTTTTTTTTTTTTTTTTTTTTACAGAGAGGAAAGGAGAGGGATAGAGAGTTAGAAACATTGATGAGAGAGAAACATGGATCAGCTGCTCCTGCACACCTCCTGTGGCTATCTTGTTTAAAGGATGGATGCCCAGGCTTCACCCAGAGATTAGGAGTCAGAGGTCTAGCCAGGGGCCTTGAAATCTGCATTTAAAAATCCTTGCCCTAGCCGAAACCGGTTTGGCTCAATGGATAGAGCATCGGCTTGGGGACTGAAGGGACCCGGGTTCGATTCCGGTCAAGGGCATGTACCTTGGTTGCGGGCATATCCCCAGTAGGGGTGTGCAAGAGGCAGCTGATCGATGACTCTCTCTCATCGATGTTTCTAGCTCTCTATCTCTCTCCCTTCCTCTCTGTACAAAAATCAATAAAATATATATTTTTAAAAAATCTTCTAAGAAAAAAAAATCCTTGCCCTAGGATATTTTTCCATTGATTTTTTAGAGAGAGTGAAAGACAGAGAGAAACATCGATGTGAGAGAAACATATCGATTGGTTGCCACCTGCATGCACCCTGACCAGGGCTCTGGGCTGGAAAGAAGCCTGTGACCGAGTACATGTCCTTGATTAGAATCAAACTTGGGACCCGTTGGTCTGCAGGTCTACACTCTACCCACTGGGCCACACTGGCTAGGGCAGAATCTGCATTTAGCATGGCATCCTGCTCTGGGTGATCCTGGTGCTGGGTAGGGAGTGGGCCGAGCCTACAGATGATCCTTGGTGAGTCTGGCCTCACAAGTGTGTGTCAAAGGCCCACATGTGGAGGCTCCTGATTCCTCGGGAGAGACGCACTAGAAACTTAGCTTCCCCCCGTCATTACTCCTGATGTGCAACCCAGCCACTTCTTCTTCGTTGGAGAAGCCAAGTTTTGCTGTTAAAAACCTTAACCTTTCTTCAGCGATGTTTGAGATTGCTTCCAAACCAGTTTGGAAAGATTACACACACACACACACACACACACACATACACGC